GAAGGCGGTGAAACGACTAGAGGGGGAGGGGGTGTGCGAATAGCGAAAAGGGGGTGTGCGTGGAGGAATTAGGGGGTGTGAGATTATCAACGCCCTATACTATAGTCTACTTTTAGAGTAGCTATATTATATATAATATTCTAATACTCTAAATAGCTACTAAAGCAGCATCTATACTATATTTTTCTTATTTCCTTTACCTTTTTATTAGTCTTAGAGCGGTACTTTATAAGGCTATAGCCTTGCGCCTTTATATACCCTATAAGCGCTTCCTTAGCTTTCTCTAGAGTATTATAGGCCTGTAGAGGTAGTAGCTAGAGGGCTATAGCAAGTATATTATAGAGGTAGAAGATAAGAATATAATTGCTTATATACACGCTGCATTTAGAGAAAGTATTTAGAATTATGGGCTTCATCGCCGGCATTCGAGTCCACCCACCGCTCATCCCGCTCGTCAAGCACGTTATCCTCAGCAATCCCGTCGACAATCATCACCCGGACCCGATGCAGATCCTTGCGAATCCGCGGCATTTCAGTATGAACAGTTTGATGCTCGAAACTCTCACGCTGGTCTGTGACTGCGCTGGTACGGCGAGCTTTGTAGATGACTTACCACGGCTGAATCAGATACTCCAGGAGAGAAAGACGCCGAGATACTGCTATGTTTGGAAGAAGCTGAAGCCGTATGTGAGGCGAGAGAGTGCTGGGAAGCCGCCCGTCGTACAGATGGGGCGGCGGCCGTATGTCATCACGGGGAGGGCTGCGTTTGTAGAGGAGAGATACAAGTGTCGCCGTCACTATTTCTACGTGACGCTTACCCGCCTTGGTAGTTGAGGTAGGACAGTGGATCTGTACTGCTGCATACTTCAAAGGTATCTATAATACATTTTCTACAGCAAATAAGACTATGGCGGCCCGATTCGAGTATACTCGATCCTGCCAGGGCTGCCATGTTCGCCATCGAAGTCCTCCTTGAGCCACCCGTTATGATCAAAACCGGAGAAATCTTTTAAGAATCTGTACGCAGGATAATGCCCAGCATTGGAAATGGTGACTTCTTCAAAAGCTCTGCTCTTCTTGAGCAAGCCAAGGCTCAGACTAAGCTAGAAATTGTTATTCAGAGTCTGCATCTGAAGTCGAAGTTGCTCTTTTTTTTCGAGGCCCGTTCGGATCGTCGTCGCAGTCAGCGTCCCGAGTGGCAGTATCTGGGGATCCCAGATCCGGAGTAAAGTCCCCCAGAGCGTTCCTTCGACGGTGACATGTCGGATACTCGCAGCAAGCGTTCGCGGCAGAACATCCAGACAGTGTTGAAGCTTGCGGACCGCTTTTTCTGATAGAACCAAGTTTGCGAGAGGGAGGGCGAGTGCGGAGGCTTCTGCGCGTATTACTTTGCATGTGAGGAGGAGGGGTAAGGCGCGGCTCGAGGTCTGAATTGTGCCCCGCGGATAGAGAAACTCGTACACCAAGAGGCGCAGCTCTGCTGGTAGAGCTAGAAATCGAGATGCGGATTGCGTCGCTCCGACCGCATCAGTCGACATGTTCTAGAACAGGGCGAGAAGTGCAAGGCAGACTGCGGATGGCTGTGCAGAGTGGCAAGCTAGAGATCGACGCTGGTGAAGGTGGAGGAACACATGCACGCTGAATGGGGGGTGGATCTTGAGGTCGTGTGAGGATAATACACAGGAAGCGTTTAGTGACATAATGGGTGCTAGGCGGCAGGATTCGATCGTGTGGCACTGGATGCGGGTTGTCGTGGCTGTGCATGCAGGAAGCCCGATGGAGGTCACTTTTCATGCTTGTTCGGAACTTGGTCCCTCGCCCCGACAGAACACAGCTGTAGCTAGATAAGTTTGTGTGTGTGGAGTCTGTGGTATAACTAGACGAGGTATGGCAACCGAGCGGAGCGAAAGCTGTGCGCTCGGCAAGCTACGAGAACGTAAACGCACCGTGATAGCCAGTCAAGTTTTGGCTGACTGAGCATGTCCTATGTAGATTCCAAGAAGAGGCGTCGTTTATGGGCCTCGTTTACGCCATCTTATCGAGGCTGCGCTGATGATCGGCGACGCCAGCTAATGTGAACCTTTGCGGCTAGCTGAGGGCTGTGACCGCCATCCCACTTTGCTTGCAGATGGCCTGGAACGTTGAAGACATCGTCGTGCTTCAGACGCGAAAAGAAGGTATGAGAAAACAGAGACGTAGGTAGGAAATAAAGATATCTGGGGTAGGGAGAGGTCTAGATTCCGCCACAGAAGGGCACGCCACTATACGACATCAAACGAGCATCTCAGTTTGATCCTCAAGCCTACAAAGGCATCTTGATTGCGCTGCTCCATAAGGTTGCAGATACGGTCGAGACATGACTCGGTCTACGGACTGAAAGCGGATGGGAGTGATCGAATACTGGCTACTGATGGCACAGTGCATGGATCACGTGACATGACCTGAAAGAGTGAACTCCGTCAACGAGGCGAAACATGGACGGGCTATCTCGACGCGCTGGTATGTACTATGTAAAGATGAAAAAAGGAGATCTCGTGCCTCAAAGCTATTCTTGCACTCGGTTACTAGCCTGTTATGTCAGGCAGCGGCGTCCTCGTGGCGTACGCTGGTGACGAGCCGACGATGGTGTCAGTCAATGGGGAGACGCCATTGATACTCTCGCTTCTTGGCCTGCAATCGGGAGTGCCTCCGTCTCTGAGCGGTGCTCTTCACTCGCTCTATCGTGGATGTGATATGCAGCCACTGGAGTGCAGTGAAGTCGGGGGGATTTCGCTCACACCCTGACGGCAGTGCTTGACTGGCTGAGGCAATTAAGGGACATCCGCGTCCCTCGCTGGCTTGAGCAGCAACAGAAAGTCCCTATTGCAGCCCGGAAGCCTCATTGGGCAGGTTCAGCAGGATCCTGACCCCGGTGGCTGCGATGCCCTCCGCAGGCGTCCCTGGACATGGCCGGGAAGTGGAGCAGCAACACGACTCTAGCCGCATCTCAAGCGCTGGGGCGCCGCGATGACAGCTGAAGGCGGGCAGTCTTCGCCGTCGCGGAGACAGCCGCGATATTGAAGGCAGAGCATGATCGCAGCAGTGTGGCGGCAGAGTGCGCACATCAAGGCGATCGTTCTCGGATCTCGGGAGCAAGGCTCGATTGACCTCGCCGGCTGCACCTCTGGACGCCCGCCACCCGCTGAACGCCTCGTCGCTCCATCACAGCTGAAAGGTCCCCAGACGACGCACACCACCACGAAGCCCCGTCACTTTTGCCTGCTGCACGTAGCCCTCTTGGGCCTGGTCTACCGGCTTAAACCATGCTGCCGACTGCTGGGCCATTGCGAGGCGTGACGACCCTAGCTGAGCATCACGGCCGATCCAGCAGGTTATTCACTCTGCGACAGAGGGAGTCGCACACCTCGCGACAGAGGGCAGCTGGACGGCCGCATGTTTCACTGCCATTTCCCCGCCGACGGCCGCCCTCGTTCTGTGCGGCGCGCTTGTGGCCACGGCGAGCCATGCGCTCCTTAAGTATCCGGGGCGTCAGCCTTTCTGGTGTCGTAGAGCCCTGAAGCACCTCAACCTGCCCTATATTTGCATCCTTGTACTAACCCACGGGCAAGACCTGGTACTCTGCTGACAGGCCTACGGAGTATTACTGCCCTAGCGCTGGCCATAAACGGTTCTCCCGGCGTTCCTGGTGAGTTCTGGTAGAGCTGAAAGCGGGATGCTTGATTGACTGGTTGACAGACTTCTGGCACGACGCCCCCTCCTGTCTCCAAACATATGCAGAGCAGATCAGTCTCAAACCCAATTTACTTTTCTCTCGAACTTCCTCATGCCTCCTCCACCGCATCCTGAAGCTGGCGCGCTCCTCCGGCCAACCCACGTCCTCTCAAGCCTCCACGGCGCATTACAGACTCTGGCCGCAAGTTCCCTCTCGATACTAGCAACACTCGTCCTAGTCACTGTCCTCCTAGGCTGTATAAGATGGGCACTGCTCCAACATCTCCAAAGAAAAAGAAAGAAAGCCAGAATCACACCAGCGCCACCAGAAAAACGCCCCGCCCCACCACTATTACCAGCGCCCTCATCACTGCCAACATCACGCCCAGCAGTCACCTTCAAACCAATCTATCCATGGACCTCCCCGCCCCAGCCTCTCCCAGGCCCATATGACCCCCGGCTGTACCCAGCGCCCACCCTGCGGCGCCACTCCTACCCCGACCCGTCCCCGCCCCCAGCGACCACCACCACCACGACGCTGTCGTACACGCGCCGCGTCTCGACGAACAGCATCCCTCCACGACATGCCGCCGTGCTCCACGGCACCATCACGACGGCCAGCGCGGGCGCCACCCGCGGCTGGCGCCGCAACCACTGGGTCGTCGGCGGGGCTGGCTGAAGCGCAAACTGGCCCGGCACGTGCTGCAAGCGAAAGCAAAAGAAAAAAAGCTTCAGAGAGACGGGGAGGAAGAGAACGGCAACCCTCCCGCAGCTCCATCCGCACGGAACTCGGCGCGCTTCAACCGCTGCCCACCCAGGCTACAAGGCCTGCGATCCGCGGGCGGGCTGCGGAGAAAAAAGCGATTGAAGAGAAGGTGATCATGTGGGCTGCTGGGGAAGGGATTGGAAGTTTCGCGATCGGGAGGGTCCGACTCTTGGGGTTCTTGTGTCTTGTAGGATGTTCGTGCTCTGCGGTTGCAATTTTTATTTTCTCGGGGCGGCCGGTGACGGCAGCGGCGTGGCGGGCGGCGGGCGAGCTGAGTGGTGGGGAGTGGCTGCAAGACGGCGTGCAGCGCAGGACCAAGGCAATAATCACTCGCAGTGTTGCATTGGCACGGGGGCGAGGGGAAAGGTTTTGCGAGGGAGGGGGCGATTGAGTAAGCCGGCGTGCTTTTGCGGGAGAGGGCTGGTGGGGGACGTTGGGTTGGTGACTGCATTGGGAGTGGTGTTCTCATGGATTGTGATAGCGTTAGTGAATGATTCACCCTGTTCGTGCTGAGTATAAGGCGCTCTACTATACGTCGCGTGTGAGTTAGCGATCGCATGACAGCCGGGACGAGTGCCGATAACGCCTTAGTTCTACGTGGGTGCTAGCATTCCCCATGTTTTTTCAATATTGTTACCCTTGTCTTATTGAACTATTCGCTAGGTGTGGGATACTACTCCGTATGTACGAGGTACCAACTCAGCTATAACCAATCCCAAGCGCCTCGCTGAAGATCCACGGCTCCCAATTCCAGATTGTGTACTAGTCTCTCCAATTCAATGCCCTTTGTGCAACCTCTCCAATGATACTGGACTACCGCCCTTCCCACCGTTCACTCTCCGTGTAGAACCGGATCAAGGCCTCAGCACCCACGATATCTCCTTGCCGGAACAGCGCCGCGATGTCGACGTTCAGCGGGGATTCGGGCTCCGCGGATGTCAGGAGCTGGTGGACAGCAGTGAGGGTGGCCGAGAGGGTGTAGATGGCCGACCAGTTGTTCTTGAGGAGATCGAGGCAGATTTCGCCGGTCTGTTGCGCGCTTTTGTTAGCTGGGTGTTGAATTGAAGGTAGAGAAGAGAAGGGGAAAGGGTGGACTTGCCTGGAAGTTCACGTTCGGGTGGCATATGCGGTTGATGAACTTGATCTCTGGCGGCGCGAGGGGGTAGTTTGAGGGCACGCGGATGTCCAGTTTCCAGCGGCCGCCTGTTAAGAGAGTGTTAGCTCCAAGAACACACCGTAGTATTGATTCCTAGGTCTCTTCAAAGTTCCTCATCGAATCTATCCATCCCGACCTCCCTCAATACTCCATCTCCACCAAGACAAGTACACCTCAGACGTAGTAAAACCACTATACGCACCTTCATACGGACTCCCATTAACCCCCTTCATGACCGCCGTCCAATGCATCAACTCATCATCACTCACAGGCCCCAGCTCAGCCAGCGCATCATTGGGATCCCGCTGGTAGTCCTGGAGCTCCTTGAGCAGGCGTTTGGTGGAGGCCATGCGATAGTTTCCGTTTAGTAGAATCGGCTATGCAGGTAAATAAACAGAACAAGTGGTGCTATGCAGGTATCGTGTTATCGCGTTGTTGATCAGTGAATGAGAGAGCCGACTCGCAAAAGCAACAACACACCAAGCCGCGGTTGGAGCTTCCCGTCCGTCATCAGCTGCGATCGGCAAAAGCACGGCCGGAGAAGGCAGCCCCGCAAAATAAACCTCAGTTTTGGTACAGGGATTATTTCGTGCCTCAAACACTAACAGCTACAAAGCTCTCTCAACACACCAAAATTCGATCTACAGACACTCGCAATGGCACCCCAAGCCCTTCTCTCCCCCCTCCATCAAGCCGATGGCTCCGCAACCTACTCCGCCAACGGCTACAGCGTCATCGGCGCCGTGAACGGGCCCGTCGAGGTCTCGCGGCGGGATGAGCTGCCAGAGGAAGCAGCGATTGAAGTAATAGTGCGGCCGGCCGCTGGTGTTGGGAGTACGCTCACCTCCCCTAATCTCTTCGCATACAATTAAGACTATTACCATACTAACGCCCCCCAGGCCCCCGCGAGCGCCATCTCGAATCTCTCCTCCGCACCACCCTCCAGCACATCATCCTAACCCGCGCCCACCCGCGGACCCTCATCCAACTAACCCTCCAAATCACCAGCCTCCCCGACGAAGAGAGCGCAGGCGACGGCTCTGCCCTCTCGTACTCAGTACGCTCCTCCCCCCCCCCCCAACCCCAAAATATAACCAACCTTACTAACATGGTGTCGCGTCCGTAGTCCCTCCCCCTCCTACCCCCCCTCCTCACCACCGCCTTGCTCGCCCTCCTCTCCGCCTCCATCCCCCTCTCCACCACCCTCGCCGCCGCCCTCGTCGCCATCTCCGCCACGGGGAAGATCAAGTGCGCGCCGACGGCTGCCGAGATGGTGCGCGCGGGCCCGGGGGTCAGCTCGCTGCATGTGTTTGCGTTCTCGGCGGGGCGCGCGCTGGTGCTGGCGGAGAGCGAGGGGGATTTTGAGTTCGGGGCGTGGGAGGAGGCGTGTGCGGTTGCGGAGGAGGCGTGTTGTGAGAGGGTGGCGGGGATGGAGGTGGATGGGGAGGCGGGGAATGGGCAGGCGTTTTTGAGGGGGGTGGTGGAGGGGAAGGTGGGGAGGGAGATGAGGTGGCGGATGGCTGTTTGAGTTCGGGGTTGTGGGTTGGGTTGCTTTTGAATTGCGGGAGAGTGAGTGCTTTGATGGATGATATCCTATGGAAAGGTTGGGTTGCTACTGGAGACGGGGGCATTTTGTTGCTGGTGTGGATGATACCCTATGGATGAAAAAGGTATGGAAGGGAACTCGAAAATGTGGCGTGCACAGGTCCACTGACAGGATTACAGTATTAAAGCAGGCTATATGTCCCTCGGCGCTCTGTATACCTGGGCATACGTCGTTGGAAACTACAAGAAGCCTGTAATTGACCACGCTAAGCTAAGCTCGACGCCGTGAATCAAGGCATCAGTGGAGGCACGTATTGTATGATAGCGTTCAAAAGGTGTGATTCGATCGGTGCATATGTATCAATTTTATTGACAGCGTAGCTATCCAAGCTTTCCTTCTAGGTAATGGGTAAATTCCAAAGCGCCGACGAGATACGCCAACCGCTCAAGATAAGCAGAACCAAAAATCGCTCGAATTAGTGATGATGATGATGATGATGATGATGATGATAATGCTGCCAATGGGTAGTCCAACACCGATGCAATAGCAAGCTCGCTAAGAAAGCGCAGAAATGAACAAAATCGCTAAATGGCAGTATGTAAAGAGCGAAGGTGCGAAGATGCTTTTGAGATCGTAACGTCATGATGCGTGTTGGGTATGCGAAACGCTTAAAAAACGGGGATCAAAGCGACTCAAACTTCTTCAACCCCCTTCTCTTCTTCAGCCCGCTGCTCGTCCAGCAGCTCTCGAAGTCGTTCTTGCGCGTTCCACACCGGAACTTGCCACGTTTTGACACCATGCTTGATCGGGACCTCGGCTTCGTGGGCGTCCTGGGCGGTGAACTGGGCGTCGTTCATCCACGCCCGCCAGGCTTTAGTGTCCGGTGCTGCTTCGCCGCGTCGTGCCCAATTCGCGTTCCTGGTGAGGACGATGACTTTCCATAGCGCTTGCGTAAAAGTGGTGTTCTTGCTAGGGAAGCCTTTGATGTTCTTGTCGCTGTCCGACAGCGCTTCCATCGTAACCTTGAAGCACGACGTGTCCCAGTGGAGCTTCGCGGGCAGCGCAGCAACAGTCCAGTACGCGGCGTTGAGCAGCATGTAGGCGCCTGCCCACGCAATCTGCAACTTGGGCTCTGCATTGGCCAGCGCAATGACGCCACCCATGAGCATCAGGGTGCCCAGGAGCGAGAGCATGCGGTATGCCGGAGCGTGGCTCAGGGTGTATTCGATGGACTCCGGGGCGAAGTAGAGTTCCCGGGCGACGTCTTCCTCGCATTTGACGACGAGGAAGCTGCCCTTGGGATAGCGGATAACCACGTCGCCCCGGGGAACCTTGCCAGACTTCTCTATACGCTTTGGCAGGTGTAGTTTCCAATGGTTACCCCAGCCAATCAGTGAGGAGAGGAGAGAGAGGAGGGCGGTTGCGAGGAGCGACATGCCGTCGCCGTAGTATATCGAAAGGGCGAGGAGGACGGCGGACAAGCCTGCACCGAGGAATAGGACGCCAGTGAGCGGGCCTACGGTCTTCGACTTCGCCTGGTTTATGTTCCGTCGTCCTACCGTGACGCAGCGGACCGAGTAGTCGTCCATGGAGTTTCCATCGCTATGCCGAATTAGCAAACTTATGCCAATTAGATTGGTGGATGGGCGCGGCATACCAAACAATGTTTCCAATGTGGTTAATGGAGTCCCTGTCGTTTCCGGAATACACGCCAGTCACTCGCCCGGGATGGGGCTCGAGTTTGGAGGGCCTCGTGGGTCGGAGAAGGGCTTGGGGCGCGGGAAGCAGACGAGGCAGGAAGATCCATTTAGAGAGGGTTGACACTTGGGCATTTGCGAGCACGGATCCTTCACCGAGGATGGCAAGGAACCCAACGATATCGAGCTGGAAATTATGGAGGCCGCCGGTGACCCAGTGCATGATGGCAGAGCTTTCAGCGAGGACTACAGTGGAAGCTAATGACTATGGCTATGTGGAAGACTCAATGGAGGATCGAATGACAGTTCCCGACATATAAGTAGAGAGTGCGGCGAGGAGAGGCCGGTCATAGGAAGCAGCGGCTACAGAAACAACGCAGGACAAGACATGCCAAGAGAGGAGACGGTGCAGGATTCATGGCGAAGTAGGATGTGCGCGACGCTCAGCCCCCAGACGGTCCCGGTGGAGGATAGTGTTGTTCAGCCTTGCGCGCTTTGCACGATTCTGTGCAGAGCTTGTGGAGCCTTGCAGCCTGGCGGGAGCTTGGTGCTTAATTGACTGGTGTCGCAGGGGGAGCTGGAGGACTTGCATGAGCATAGCCACTATCTCATCAGCCTGGGCGGCGACAGACTTCATGGTTGCCTCTGCTGCGCTGAAACCTCTCCTTCTTCCTTGCTCGGACCAAAGCTTGTCGCAGCACCTACTGCACGCTGGCCCTGACCGGAATCTTGCTCTCGAAGCGCTTCTTGACGTCGTTCTCCCCACTGTCCGCTCCGCCGTGACCCTGCTCTTGCGGCACCTCTATCCCCCAGGCTTCGCGCCAGGCACCAGACTGATCGGAGGCCCATCGTGGTCGAGTCAACCTTGGCTACCACCACTCTGAACGACGAATGTAAAACTCGAAGGACCGAGAAGAAAGTGTTACTGTGTCAGACAGTAGACGGACGCGCCGCCCCGCAGTGTATGTATGAGCTTTGTTGTCGCGCTGAGACCGCAGGCACGCCATGGGTGCATTCCTTCATCAAATATCATGTCTCGCGTTTGATCATATGGACTGTATTCGATCTCTACATAGCACACTGTGGCCTTTTCTTTGTTCTTCTGCTCGTAGCAAGACCACCATCTGTCTTGTTCCACGCTGAGATGACTCTAGAGTGTCAGCCTTCCCGTGATGATCGGGGCGCAGCTGAAGCAAACCCCTCTCTGACCACTACCAGGCTATTTCCCTAAGCATAAAAGGGCTATTCTCCTCGCGACCATTCTCAGAAAAATTTAGCTAGTGGGCCTCAATATCTGGTTCGGCGATATTGAATTTCAGACCGCTTCGACTGAAGCGGGTCCTTCTTTTCAACGCACGAGGAGTCTCGCACAGCCTCTCGAAGTGTCCAAGGTACTAAAATTCAGCCTTATCGCAGGCTGCAGATACTTCATTATCCGACGCCCTCTCCAGAATCTGCCTGCTCATCAAGCATTCGTGTAACATCAAGGCCTGTCTAACTACTTGAAGAACGCAACATACCAACTATTTAATAGGGATGCCGGTTGAGCCAGGGTCTACCGAATCGAGCGGCACGAATAACACCCTAACGGGATGGTTGGCGAAGTGCGGCTTCCAAATTCCTTCATTGTTTGTCTGCCCCATAATCTACTCTCGTGCCATTTACAGTCAGGAACTCAAGGATTTTGAACACGATTAACGCTTCTCAGATCGAGCCGTGACTCAGAGCGTAACGAAGAACTTCCAAATCGACCAGCGGGTGGCAGATTCTTCCGGTCAACAGAGGCGAGGCGGAAACGGAAACGCAGTCAAGACCCAGCTGCCCAATCAATAGTCAATATGGATATAGAGAAGCCACCTCCTGTCATAAATGTCACTCCTGATGACGTTGCCAAGACTCTCAAAGAGGAGATGGCGACTACGGAAACCCAGGTAAAATACAAGACGAGTCGAGACAATCTTGTAAAAGTTGACGAGAAAGTAAACAAGTGGTATAAAAAGGCCGCAGAAACGAAGATTGACAAGGAGGAGGAAGCCGGCGAGATCATACGCAAAATCAGGGAAGATGAACGCAGAACACTCTTTGGAAATCTTCCTTCTGAACAAATCCCAGAGCCAGAGACTCTGGATATGGGGGGCCAGTTCTTGACCAACAGAGATCGCATTGAGAAGAAGAGCAAGCTTTACGAAATTGCCGTGGAGGCACCTAAAGGGGCTCTCTTGCACCTCCATTTCAATGCGGAGCTGGAACCAGAGACCCTGCTTAGAGAGGCCCGGAGAATGAGCAACATGTTCATTAGAAGCACGCTGCCCATTTTAAAGAGGCAAGATCTCGAGCAAGCGGAACTAGTTTTCAACGTTGTTCCGGAAGACACTGTGTCTCAGGATATATTCTCGCCCGATTATTTCAAAGAGGGCGACAAATTCATCGCGAAGACACCGTTCGCGCCTAATCACTGGATGAGGTGGACTACCTTCCGTGAGGTGTGGATTAAGAAGTATGGACAAGATGAAACGATCACGAAAGATCACCACGCCCTTACTAAATACCCTGAGAGCAACGGGGGTTTTCTAGACAGCTCAGTTGAAGGAAAGTTCATACCGGATGCTGCAGAACGGTGGCTGATCACCAAAATGGTCCTAAGTGAGGACGAGGCCTACGGTCCCAGGCAAACCGTCAATGGGTAAGTTAATCTAAGAAAGGTACATGGTTTCATTACTAATTTGGTGCCAGGGTCTGGGCTCGTTTCAATCAAGCCACCCGTTGCTTTAAAGGGCTTCTCAATTATGAACAAGTCTACAAGTGGTACATCGGCAACGCTATCCAGCGCATGATCGAGGAAAAGATCATGTACGCTGAGCTGCGTCCTATGCTGCTAGACAAGTTTATTCCAAAGAATGACGGCATTGGCCAGATAAGCAATTCAGAGCAAATGAAACTAATAGTCGACGGAGTAAACGCGAAGAAAGAAGAGTTAAAGAAGCAAGGGCTCGAGGACAAGTTCCCATTTGGCCTCAAGATCATCTATTGCACGCCTCGCTCGATTCCGAAAGTAAGGATGGTTCAAGAAATGCAAGACTGCATTGAGCTGAAGCTCCAGTTCCCTGACCTCATATGTGGTATGTAAACCCTCGACCTAGAAATGACGCGCTGCTAAACTCGTCGCAGGGTTTGATCTAGTTGGAGCGGAAGACCGGCCTAACAACATCGGGTACTATCACCAGGAGTTGGTCGCTTTTCAAGAGACTTGCGACCGCTTGAAACTTGATATCCCATTCATGTTCCATGCTGGTGAAACCTTACTCGACACAGGTGGCTCCGCGCGGCAATATCCACAGAACTCGAATCTTTATGACGCTGTCCTTCTGAAGAAGTCCAAGCGGATTGGCCACGGATTCTCCTTAACCAAGCATCCTCACTTGATTGAAGAATTTAAGAAAAAGGACATCTGCATTGAGCTCTGCCCCATCTCCAACGAGCTCCTACATCTCTGCAGGAACGTGAAAGAGCATCCATACCCGCAACTGCTAGCAGCCGGAATCCCGTGCACGGTGAATAGCGACAACCCGTCCCTCTTCAGGTATTTCCTCTTCTACCATTCGAGCAGATTCATCAGCTAACTCAGAAACCACAGCAACTCCATGTCCCACGAATTCTACCAAGTCATGGTCGGCACTCCCACCATGAACATCTACGGCTGGCGCCAACTCGCTGAATGGAGTCTGGAATACAGTTGTCTCTCCGCCGCCGACAAGAAGCGCGGCCTCGACATTTTCAGGCGCGAATGGGCAGAATTTTGTGCCTGGATCGTGAAGACTTATAACACTCATGCCGAAGCCATAGTCGAGCCCACGCTCCCTAAGATCTGAACCCAGCGAAAGACTCGGCCGGCCTCTCATGTGAAGCGAGTATTGCGATGGATTAGCTAGAACGAACGACTCCCGGGGCTCCCAGTCCCACTTAGATCCCTCACACCATTATGGCTGCGATAGCGAGTATTTATCAATATACCACTTCACCATGGCTCGAGGTATGTAAATCGTTGTTTCCAGCGGTCTTTTAGCCATCTCTGCGGGTAGGCAGGGCGCTTCGGGGGAGCATGACAACAACTCCTAGGTGCCTCGTCGATAGTGCGTCTATCTTTCTGTGCACCTGTGCCACTCTATCACGACCGCATTGGCAACGGACCTGAGCGGTGGCTTAAGATCGTGGGGTTTTGGACTTTTTGGATGCGTTCAGTTCATTCAACACCGTGCTTGAATGTACGAGGGTTCTGCTTTAGTTGGGCAATCTGTATCTGGTTAAAATAGCGGAGACTCAGTGCTGGCGGCTTGGAGGTCTTTCACTTACACTTATCTTATTTCTTGTGTGCGTTCTTGGAGTTTTGTTAATTAGAACATATTTCTGGATTTCTGGTAGGTAACGGCAACCATTTTCCTGAGAGCTCTGTTGAAGTGAGCTCCTGTTTTCAATGTATTGCTGCATTTCAACTAGATCTGCCCCCCAATCACGGTGTTTGCACTGCCCTACTCGCCCACCCTCTCGGGTTCGCCCAACCCAATATTCACTCTTCCCAAGTTTTGACCCCTAATCATGACACAAACCAAGACTTTCTCCTGGAGAATTCACAAAAACTATCGTCGCCACTCAAACGCAGTCACAAATCCTGTATATTGCCCACAAGTATCCGCACAATGCCATCCATATACTTCCATCCATCCCCCTTCTCCGTGTTACCTTATTTGATCCCTCGACTCTGTCACCAACAAGGACCTAGTGAATACAGAGCAATCCCCCTGTCGACTCACACCCCCTAGCCCCTTCACCTTACACAAGATCTCGCATAAACCCCTCGCTCTTTCGGATGTCTTCAAAAAACTTTTAGCGGATTCGCAGTCATCCATGTGGGTATATAGTTTTGAAAAAGGGAACAGCTAATGCCCTACCAACATTCCAAGGCTTGGAAGATATGGAGACTCGCTGGACTCAGGAGCTCTCATTCCGTCGCCGCGGAAGTTGTGATGTTGAGAGTCTGGTTCCCAGTTGGGCTTTCTCGAGAAAAGCTGGGAAAGCAGCCGTAAGATAAGAACTGAAAGAAAGAATTTCATTTTAGGCTCCGATTTGATGCCTCCGGCCTAAGGGCAGAAATGGTCCATCCGGCGTACACAGCGTTCAAGTTCGCTGCAGTGGAGTGCACGGTCTGGTTTGAAGTTGTTGTAATGGACGATAAGTTTAGCAAGAAGTAGACGAGCAAGGTTGTAAAGTGTTGGAGGTGTGATACCTAGTCAAACAAGCTTCTTGAACCCTTTAAAGCCTGTGATCCGGAGCGCTGATATTGTGCATCTTTCCCCGGCCCCTGCACCACGTCTCTACGTTTATTACCCGAAGAGAGAGGGGATGTCGGTGGAATAGAATGGAGTCCCGTGCTCACATGTTGGATAACGATTATATACGTTGTCTCAATGATCAAACGCAAAAGCGGAGTCTGGATTCCCTAGGATACAATGAAGCATACCGCGCTCCCGCCCTAAGGACACTATAATACAGCATTACGCCAATCCATGCTTTTACCCTCTCCCAACGCACTTCCATGGATCAACCCCTCATCTCAGTCCGAGCAAAAAGTTGCCTCCCGACTGTCCCTGGCCACCCGACGACCCCCCACCCGGCAGATACGACACATTCGGATTCCCCGCCAGCATCTGCGCAATATCCTTCTGCGTCTCAATCCGCCGAATCATAATCAACCCATCGCCACTCTTCGCGACCGCCTTCGAGATCGTATCCGCCGCCTCGGCCTCACCCTCCGCCCGGATAACATTCGCCTGGCGCTCCTGCTCGGCTTTCTCGACGATGAAGCGCGCGCGCTCGGCTTCTTGTTGTGCAATCTGCTTCTCCTCGACGGCGCGCGTGAACTCCTTGCCAAAGGTCATGTGCGTGATGGAGACGTCCTCAAGGGCGATGTTGAACTCGTTGGCGCGCTTGAGCAGGTCGGCGCGGATGCGGTTGCTGACGGCCTCGCGCTGGGTAATGAGCTCGGCGGCGTCGAACTGGGCGACGATGGCCTTGAGAACTTCGTTGCCGATGGAGGGGAGGACGCGCTCGTCGTAGTCTTGGCCGAGGTTCTAGACGAGATATATTAATTCATGTTGCTGGTGTAGTATTTGTGCTCCGGAAGTGAAGCCAAAAGCGTTGGAAGGACAATCGGAGCACATGGAGGGGAACATTGTCATACCTGATAAATCTTGGGCAGCATCTTGACTTCCGGCCGATGTAGCACCCTGAGCGTCAAGCTCACCATCTGCAGATCCTTGCTGCCCGTCGTTGTGGAGATGTTGCGCGGCCGTGTCCGCACATCGTAGATGATGCTCTTTTGCAGCCACGGGATCAGGAAGTGTGTGCCCTCGTTCTTGATGTCTTCCTTGACACCTGATATCCGATCGAAGATGACGGCGCGGGTGCCGCCTTTGACGTCGTAGATGGAGGCCTGGATGAGGGAGAAGCCGACGGCGGTTGGGATGGCCCACTTGTAGATTTTGCCTAGGGCGTTCGCCATCTTGAGAGTCGAGAAGGAGGAGTGTGGGGGACGGAGAGGTGGCTTGAGTTGTGATGAGCTTTGGGAAAAGTCGACGGTTCATTACTGCTCTGTTTTCGGCAAGCTCAATGTCACGTGGTTTTTGCCCGACGTCGTTCTTGCTCTTGAGCTTCACCCGACGACTCCATCCTCCCGCATCTCGTCGCGACACCACACCACGCTCTCCGCCCTCTCCACTTATCCAATTCCCCAAACTTCATCCAAGAGAAACCGACAGCATGGGTGGCGGCGGTGAAAAGCTCCCCGGCCAGTAAGTGCGCCCGCAATCCCGCCCGCAACCACATCAAGGACTTCCAATCCACCACGCTATCTCCATCAGCCATTGCCTACCAGCACCTTCACTAACGTCTTCTCCGTACAGATATATGGGATGGTGGGGCAGTCTAGGTACATCTCTCCGTTCCCAGCGCCCCGATCTCCAGTGTCATATCCGACAGCGACCGAACCCATACTCACACACCACCCTCTAGGCTCTCCCGCCCAAAAAGGCATTACCAGCTACGCCCTTTCTGCCAACCAGCAGCGCCCGCTTGCCGGCACCCTCCACACTGCTATCTTCAATACCGCCCGTCGCACCCGCTACCAGATTCTGTACTGGGCGCCTCCGCTGATTGTCGCGTACTCGACCATGGTGTGGGCTATTGAGAGGTACGCGGGAGACATCCAGAACACCTGGTTCACAAAAGGAAACAAGAGAGGTGAATTATGCTAATTGTTGGATTACAGGAACGAGTACCTAAACTCCAAACCCGGCCGAGCGGAGTTTGCCGAATCCGAAGAATAGAGGCGTCGGAGCGATGAGGCAGCAAAGGGAGAAGACTATGATTGGAATCTTGGGAGGGTGCAGACAGTGTATATTACAGCGGAGTGCCAATAGACCGTTCTGTGTAACAATGACGAGACAATCGATTTCTGGCGTGATGAGCTAGCCATGCCTCGAGGTGATGCACATGGAACACCAGCACCCTTGCAAAGAACCGAACCTAGAAAAACCTGCTAGAAGAGACGTATAATAAAAACAGATCAAAACCAGGCCACAACATCTAAATACCGAAGTACCGTACCATCGTGACACATACCCGTGAGCCAGTCCGATGTCAGAGCCTTCGATTAAACAAGGAGAGAAAACGTCTGACTTCAGGACAGCTAGCAATAACATGCCTAAATCGAGTCTAAATCGCACGGACTGGCTCCTGTTAGCACATCTCGCGACATTCAAATCTTCCTCTAATCCTCGGTCTGATCTGGCTTGTTACGAATTGGACATCGCCCTAGAGCCTTTAAATCAAACCACTTCACAAGCTAATATCGAGAGCACAAACAGGAGTTAGTCCGAACCCTTGACACTGTATGCAAAACGGCTCAACATACACCCTGATCCGAATCACCTGGCAATAACAGCTAGTTTGATATCCCAATGTACACCCAAGAAGTTTCCTTTCCCGTTCAGGGAACTGAGCTGTGGCTGTGCTGTGGTGAGCACATCCTGAGTCGAGACTGAACAGCTCGTTGGAATCCTAGTTTTGGGCCCTCTATTCGACAGGGGGGTTTGAGACTGGGGTCCTCACCCTGCCTTGGAAGGCCCATTTCTGGCCCCGTAGGCCTGCCAGGTTCTAGTTTTAAGGCCCAATTCTCGAGTAAACTTACCCTCCGATGGAAAATAGCCCAAGGCTGATCTGCGCCACTTTATCATCCACGCAAGGGTAAAGCTATGGGTAACTGATAGGTTCTGTTAGTTTAGTGTATAGGGCTCATGAAAGGGTGAGTTCTCTATTGATTTAACTACGGAAGAAAGGCAAAATATACTGAGAGAGACCCCCCTAAGTTTTCTAGGAAGTGTAATTATAGAGGAAATGGCATCGGTGATGTTGAGCCAATCAGGGCCTATACACTAAAATCCCATTCCTGATTGGATAAACTCATGAGACTACTTGGTCAACTACGAGACGGTGATTAGTTGTGGAACTGATAGTTGTTCTTTCTGTGGAACAGTTATGATAGTAAATTTATAGTGCTAGGTTTTGCATTTGATCCAGAATAGAATAGTTGAAGCATTTGAAGGCATACTGCAACAATCCCTAAAAAGCCTACCAGGTTGATCGAATGCGATCGCCAAACTTTACGTTACTAACAGTTCGCTCTCAGCCGTTAAGCTATATGACTAAGTATTTTGTCCAGCCGCCAAGATTGCAAAGAAGCGCACAGGAACTATTACCCAACTAAGTACGAAACTGAATAATTTCACCTTACGACAGAAGCAGCGCCAGAAACTAAGAAAACCGCCATGCTTACATGATGACACACCACCCTTTGCCCGATGATTCTGAGCCATTGGGGGTATCATCCGGAAACCCGTCTTCAAGGTCTGAATCAAAGAATACGGAATCAAAGTTGCGGTCGTTTGAAGAAAAGGAGTATTCTCCTCCATCTGGATTCCGCATGTAAGCACCGAAGAGCGTACCGGCAAGGACCGCGAGTTCCCTCGCCCAGAATCTCAAGTTCTTTTTGTCGAACCAAGAATCTTCCTTTGTTTCTCTCCACTTGTCGCCGTCAGTGTTGGTTCCGCTGTTTCGTTCCGAATTGGGGACATCCGCCGAGTCCGGGGTCGACGAGGGTGAAGTCGTACTGTTCGGAGTCGCTGCTGGCGTCGTCAGAAACTAAGTAACATGCTGGTCATTGCGATGGGAGCTTACTAGAAGCTGCAGGGGCTGTGCCTCGAAGGACCCCAGCAGCCGTGGTTTGCATAACATCGATCTTGGCATGCAGTTCCGTCATGACCTGCATCTCAATCGTCGGCGCATCGCGGTACCGACTAGCAATCATGGCGATTGCTTCCTGATGGCGCTCTTTTGCTTGATCTTGTATGTCAAGTAGGTCGACGACCGTTAATTTACCCTCAGACTTCTTCAGCTTAACGCCGTGATGGTATACGCGTGCGCCTGAAAGACCTTGTCCTGGATTCAGAAGCCGGTCCCAATGCCCCTCCCACTCTGGCACCGTGTCGGCAGCTCGATCCATTGCGGCTCTCTTCGACACATAGTCCCAATGTGTGGTGACAATCGTGATGTTTTGGAAGAAGGCTGGCCCGCAGAGACTCTCCAAGAACTGGTGCATCTTGATATGGATCGGCCCGAGGCGTCCTGCCTCGAGATTGGTGACATACAGAACGCCGACGTAGTTAACGAAGGGCTGAAGGGTGGCAAGCCCGGTCATCATATCGCGGAATATGTCGAGATCTGGGTCTGTGGTGTTGAAGCCGGGGGTGTCAACGAGGATGTATGGCTGGCTGTCGATGATGGTGGAGTAGTAGCCTGGTGCTTTGGTGCCTTCAAGAATATTTAGTCAATGGAGTGATCAATGGAGTAAATTTCAGAAGATCTTACATGGAGCCAACCCCTTGCTGACCGGCACGTCTTCGCTTGTGACTGACCTGACGAACGAGGACTTGCCAACACCACCCAGGCCGGTGACAATGATAGCGTTTACTCGAAAGGGGAATCTTAGAATCAGTGATCAGCAACCTGTAGTATTGTTTAAAGGCAAACTTACGCCTTTCGGAGGAGCCGGACACCTGTTTGGCTAATGGCATAATTCGCTGAACGGAGACGTTCGGTCCTCCGTTCCATGCCAATTTATCCCATGAATCATTCCCAACTGACGCGGATTTCTGGTCATCGCGACTGGGTTTGTCCTGAACATGCTCGGACATGTTGATCAAGTGATGATGCTTTCAACGTTGATGGGAATAGGTTCGATAATACCGATGTTGGATAGCTTGAATGGTGAAGAAACTGGGAGTTAACTGGCTGAGATGGTTTGTTCGACCATTTATATTAACCTTCCTAGACGCCTAGCACAATTACGGCGTGGAACAAGCGCCCAGACATTTGGAGAGTAGGCTACGATGAGGCGGTGCTCAACGTAGCCCTCCAATCAAGTACTTCAAAAATCTGCTGGGTGTTTGGGCATGCTTTCAGTGGATAAATAAGCAAAATGTGAAAGAGTGCTTCGTTGCGAATCATTTTAGCCAAGACTCGCGATCGGTGACGGATGAGGCAGAAAGGCAATGGAGTTTCTCCAGGTTTGGTGCGGCACAGCACTGCACTGAAAACGTGGAATGGTACAGCCCCTTGGTGTTATGCAACACCAACAGTATCACCGCTGTAGCCTATACACCGCCTCATCGCTCAAGCAAAACTCGGTACCACTATCCCCGCCACCCTCTCCGCCATCCTCAGCGCACAGCGGCGCGGGGCCACGTGAACAGCAGGGGTCGGAAGGTGTGCACATTGGAGTGGTATCCCCCTTTACGTCGAGTTTGGTTCTATGTTATCGATAAGGCTGCGGCCAATCAGAGGCTCTCGTTCAACCTTACATTTCGGCGCCGTGATGAAAACTACACAACGTTGAGGTTATTCAAATTCGTGATTTCTATGCATATATCGATATTATAGCTAGTCCTTGGTGTTGAGCCTTGCCAAGTGCTCACTCCAGCACGTTCCTCTCGTGCAAAACGGAATTCTACAGACTGTACAGCCCTATAAGGTTTGTGGTGGCCTTGTACGGCGCTTCCAGCTGTCAGAGTCCTCCTGTTTTTTCATTGTAGAGTTAACAGATAGATCTGCAAGAGGCTTACAAGTAGCTCGGTGTTGTATAATAGACGAGCGCTTAGCCTTAAGACAGGCGGAACAGAACACCTGTTTCCGCTATAAACGCTTATATTAATACTCCTTAACCGGCCTCTATATAATATCTTTTATAGCCTTCCTCCTCTCTATAGTATTTAGCTGCGTAACTTAAACAGAGGCCTTAAAGAGGGCATCTCGGAGGTCGCAACGGTACTGCTTGTAGCTCCGCTTATGCAATGCCTGTTTACCAGGCCCGGGCTTATAGGAAGAGAGGAGGAAGGTGTTGTTAACAGTTATATCTAATAAGAAATAGAATAATAGCTTCCAGGTCTTCCTATGGACACGGATTATATTATAATTGCCGCGGTACTAGTCTACACGGTTAATACCGCTTATCTAGTAGTTATACTTATTAATAAGGTCGGGGACAGGTAGCTAAGTTCTAGGGGTGTTCCCAAACATTTTAACAGTCTGCGTGTAGCCTATAGCTGTTATAGCAGGCCGCTTATAGTTCTTCTGGAAAGAGGATTAACCTGGCAATATATAATATTAGCAGCTCTATAGTATAGTATTAAGGCTTAAAATAGCAGGATAGCTTACTATTATAGATAGTAGATATAAATAAAACAACTATAGCGTCCTTCTAAGCAAATATTATTACCTGGCTACTTTTAAATATCTCTGCATATAGCGTACCCTATATAATTTAAGCTATATATAATAGTTTAAGGTCTATTAGTAATTAAGCAAACAGCTCTATAAAACCCTTTTTTTTACCCTTTATTTTCTATTATATAGCCTATATAGCCTCTATATTCTCCTCTATAACCTTTTTAATATCTATAGCTCTATTACCTAGCTCCTTTTACTATATTTATATTATCCTAACTATACCTGCTACCCTAATTCCTAGTTTATAGAGCTGCTTAAATAGCTTTACAGAGCTAAAGAAATTATTAAGCTAAACTATATACTTATAAAAGGGGTAGAGGCGCTTATTAGTTATAGAATAGCGCTGCGTAAAAAGGTTAAGTATAATAGCTTAAGTTTTTATAAAGCCCTTATTAAGGAATAATTTATCCAGGTTAACAGGGCCTTTCTTATTGCCCTTAGCATGCTATAGCTAATCTAGAATATAGCCTTAATTAGCTAGAACCTAAATTTTAAAGCCCTCTAGCGTTGGTTTTAACAGTATATTAATAATCTTAGGCGCCCTGCCTATTATTATTAGGTTCTATTAAGCCGATTTAGCTCCCGTTAGGGTCTATGCGGCAGTGCTATCTAGGTTTTATTTACAAGGGGAAACCGTTCGCTCTATAGCGGTCGGGTGAAAACC